CAACAAAGATCTGCAAGGAAACACAGCCAAGCTTAGCTAATTCACATGAGGGGAAGACGTGCAGGTCTGCTTGGATGTCAGACCACAGAGAACTTGAGTCTAACTTTCCAACCACAGTACCTCCCTTGAAGCAGAACAAGCAGACCCCAAAGCCCAGAGGCTCAATGCCATGCGTCTTCCCCACGGGTACGGGGAGGGGTAAGCACCTCAGAGCAAACCACGAACTGCCTGGCTGGCACTAGCCAGCATGTGCTAAGCATAAGAAACAGACATGGAGCAAGCACGCCGCTCCCAGATTTACACTGAGGACAGTTTAATCGGGACCAGTTTATGAAAGGCAGGGCTGCCATCACTCCCATGGCTATGGAGTGCTCTGCATCCACCAAAAGTTTCTGTTAGGGGACATAAGGTTCCTTCAGTTGAATCTTATTACCTGCAGGCAGTTCTGCACACAATGAGGCTTTTCTTTTAGGGAGAACTTCAGCAGAAGTCTTAAGAAGTTTTTCAAAAGAAGGAAGATTGAGTTGCGAACTTGAAGAAGATCGTCCGTTGAAAAGTAAACATTTTCACAATCCTCTTCCTCCTCCTCCTCCTCTTCCAATATCTCTTCTCTCTATATTGGTAGAAAAGAGAAAGAGCGCCTTCCTGTCCCACAGCACTGGCTGATCTCTTTTGCACATTTCGGTGCTTCACACAGTTCTCAGGCTAGATCCTACATGATTTAACATCCAAAATTCTAAATCTTTTCTTTCAGATTAATTAATGCACTTAACAGTGGTAAAAAACCAAACAACAGACAGAAAGAGGAAAGTTGGATAGAAAAAAAGAAGGCTCCAACACAGCCTATTCTCATTTTGAAGGAGAAAGTCCATCAGAACTGAAGACAATTATCTGAATTCTACTCTGACACTTCGAGATTCATCTCAAGTAATTCCCATTGTGCCTACGCCGTTCTTCCCTTGCTTGTCATGAACTTGTGGCACCTGGGGCACCAACGTTCTCTCAGGATTTCTGATGCATAAGCCTCAATTCTGTTAAAAAAACCCAAACATATAAATGTTAGAATGAGCAGCTGAGTACAGCTAACCAAAGCATCTGGAGTGTGGCTATCGATGGCTACAGGCTGTTCAGAAGGGACAGGCGAGGAAGGAGGGGCTCAAGAGTCAAGTCAGGACCCTGAATCATGGAACAGATCCTCCTAGAAGCTATGCTAAGGCACATGGAGGACAGGGAGGTGATTCGAGACAGCCAGCATGGCTTCACCAAGGGCAAGTCCTGCCTGACCAACCTAGTGGCCTTCTGTGATGGAGTGACTACATCAGTGGACAAGGGAAGAGCTACGGATGTTGTCTATCTGGACTTCTGTAAGGCCTTTGACACGGTCCCCCACAACATCCTTCTCTCTAAATTGGAAAGATATGGATTTGATGGGCGGAGTGTTTGGTGGATGAGGAATTGGTTGGATGGTCGCATCCAGATGGTAGCGGTGAACGGCTCAATGTCCAGATGGAGACTGGTGACAAGTGGTGTCAATGGTTTTAAACTAAAAGAGGGTAGATTTAGACTAGATACAAGTAAGAATTTTTTTACAATGAGGATGGTGAAACACTGGCGCAGGTTGTCCAGAGAGGTGGTAGATGCCCCACCCCTGGAAATATTCAAGGCCAGGTTGCATGGGGCTCTGAACAACCTGGTCTAGTTGAAGATGTCCCTGCTCATTGCAGGGGGGTTGGACTAGATGGCCTTTAAAGGTCCCTTCCAACCCAAACTATTCTATGATTCTGTGATTCTATGATTTAGTCCTTAACTTCCCATCAGTAAGTTGGGAAGGAAACTCAAATGTCATTTGGAAGCTGGTCGCATACTAACTTGAAGGTCTCTTGAAGAAGCTGATATAAATTAGTTTCTCCTTCTGCGACTGAGCTTTCTAACAATATGCCACAGACAAATAAGCTGTATTTTTTCTATTAGTCAGCAGCCAGGAAACTGCAGCTAATGTTGAATCATCAGATCTCTGAAATTCCTAATAATAGATAGAGGATCAAAAGCGGAGCTGAACTGCTGAATAAAAGGTTAAGACCTAAAAAAAGGGTGGAAAAGAGGAAGAATATCACACTGACCTAGAAGTGAAATAGCTTGCCAACAGTTTGCTTATTAATAGAGATTTATATCTGAAGAGATTATACAAACATCTTACATTGCCATTCCTGCACGGTCTTCCTTTCTTTCTATTTCTTCTTCCATTGGTCTGAGAGCTTTGAGCGTGCATCTTCTTTCTTTTCCTCATCAGATCTGGTTCTTGAGGCCAACATTTTGTCAGGGTGTGAAGACACTTATCAAACATCACTTGATGGAACAGCTGGTTAGCTACGCTGCCTGCACAGAAAAGACAACATCAGCCATCTTACAGCCAAAATACAGAGGGAGCATCAAATCATCTGACCATCTCTCCCTTTGCTTTGACAGCCAGATAGGTGGCCAGGACAAAGGCAAGGAGTAAGAAAGTTCAGGAGAAGAAAGAATTGTTTGAACAAAGCCAGACTGCATCAGGATGACATGTCATCAGCGATGACATTTTCCAGTAGGACCACCAGGTGATTGACCCCTTCTAGCTGGTAACATGCTGCACGACAAAGATCAGCAAAACTGAAGCAGAGTACGTGTTAGCCTTGAATACCACAGGATACTGCTGTGAATCAACCTGCCAGAAAACTCCAGCTGCTGGTTATTTTAAACAAATACTTTTGTTTTCACAAATGAACCTGTCCAAAAGCACTGCACAGTGAAACCCTCTCTAGCTACAGAGCAGGAACAGGAATAAGCTTCTGCCTTTTTTATGTGTATTATTGTCAAACCAGAGGGATATGTGTGGTTCCAGCTCTGCGTACCACGCAGACTCCTCTGTCGACCTTGTCACAGAACTACTAAGAAGACGCATGGCAATGCAGACCCGGACTGAGACCATCAAGCCACTTTGTGGCAGGAGACCAAGCTGCTATCAGACCGTAACAGCTGTTCAGCACTCAACACCATGGCTCAGTTTGATCCCTGAGGATTTCAGGGACATCAAGCGAACAGTTAAAAAGCCATCACTTGTTCCACCTGGAATTCTTATAAATGAGAGAAAGCTGATTTTGCCCAAACAATGTTTTATCCAACAGTCGAGAGGCACATCCCTTCGCTCACCTGGGATTTCCAGCAGTAAGAAGTACAACCCAGCCGCATGAAGAGCGTAAACCCTCTGCTGTGCATTAGCTCTTTTATGCTGGCCCGCTTGGACAAAGTGATGCAACACAGCCACGAGAGCGTTATGGGAGAAGTTGTTTTCAGCAAACAAGGTCCAGATATTCTGAGGTGAAATATACGAGTAACGGTGAGAAATTCTGTAATAACATAGCTCCCTACCAGTAGATACAATTCACGTTTTAACAGTTGCTGCTGCAAACAACCTCCTATATACATTATATATTCTTTAAAATATGTTTTAATAATTACGTGATAGTATATAATACCATATGTACGCTGGAGATGGACTTTTTACAAGGGCGCATAGTGACAGGACAAGAAGTAATGGCTTTAAACTGAAAGAGGGTAGATTTAGATTAGATATAAGGAAGAAATTCTTCAGCATGAGGGTGGTGAGGCACTGGAACCGGTTGCCCAGAGCAGCGGGGGATGCCCCATCCCTAGAAGTGTTCAAGGCCAGGCTGGATGGGGCTTGGAGCAGCCTGGTCTGGTGGGACCCTGCCATGGCAGGGGGTTGGGACCAGGTGATCTTTAAGGTCCCTTCCAACCCAAACCATCCTGTGATTCTCCAATAATTTATTTTCTATTATATTGTATTATATTGTGTTGCGTCATATCGTGTTATATTATTACGTTATGTTATATTACGTTATAAAGATGTTTTCTAAACTTGGGAATAGCTTCCCTCTGAAGCATCCTGGCAGACGTGACAAGAATTGTTCGGTGCAGTCTGAAACTCTTTTATAAATTGAAATTTTTTATAAATTCCGAGGCAGGGCAGGCTTGGAGAAGAGGAAGGCACAGGACCCGTACCTGCGCGAAGCAGAACTGGCCTCACCTCTCTGCTCTCCCGGTCCTCCCCCGCG